TGGGTGAGTGGCCTCTGCGTCGATTACCTGACTTTACCTTAAGGTACCTAGGGGATGGATTTGCCCAGGTGCCCAGTCTCCAACATGGCATGGCATCCAACCCACCGACGTGTGCAAGGGGATGGGATTCCACTCTGAAAGTCCAGACTGTTCGCGTCTGCAGCACGACTGGGAAAAGTGGTGGCAGTGGCAGCGGACGTGGGTTGCGCGGAACTGCTGCAACAAGCTGGAGCCAACCAGACCGGGGAGAGGGAAAGCATGGTGGGGACGAGGGGGCGTCGAGTGGAGCGCTGTTGGCTCAGACACGATGTGTCATTGGAGAAAGCGTCCCGCCAAGACACGCGGAAAGGAGCAAAAGGTGGGGCTTCTCCTTTCTCAGGCTTGCTGCCAGGTTCACACTGGCTGCTTGTGTTGCTGCAGGTGCAGGTGCAGGTCCTGCTGGTGTCGAATTCTGGATTTCGGTGCCAACTTTCTGCTTTCCGTCTGCTGCTCTATTGTTCTGGTGTACCTAGGTCAGGTAGGTACGGGAAGGAAGTTGGGAAGTCCCGTCTGCTGGGCGTCGGGGTCCTTCCAGACGTGTCCAGAACTCCGGCACCAGCTTCGGTGCAGCGCATTGCGCATTCAATCAGCCGGCATTGCAGCATTGGATTGGCAAGATTGCTCCTTCCTGCTCCCAATCTCACTCCCAGAGTCCCTCCTGCCTCCTGCCTCCTGCCTCTCGTCCTCCTCCTGCCCTTGTCTCCCCCGTCGCTCCTGTCTGCGCCACGCTTCCCACCTCCCGTCCGTCCAATCGTCGCCCACACATTTCGTGTTTATCCGATCCTCTCCCGACCGTGGCATTCGCATGGAACTCGTTCACCTTCCTGGCCAATCGCGACTGCCAGCGTCACGAGCGTCAAGCATCCATCCTTCTTAGCGCATGCAACGCTCCCGCTCCCGTCATCTCTCCCATGTTTCCCAACTTAGCAACACCGGGAACAGCTGGTCTCACCTGGGTCCAGCTGCGCCAGCCTACGGAGACAGCCTACCCACCACCGCCAAAAACCTTGGTTGAACTTGTATCCATGGAGGTAAGGTACCGGCACCGGCCACGGCGGGCAGCAACAACGAGATCGGCACGCGGCACGCAACATGCAAACTGAGATAACCATGATTTCAACTTTGTGGATAACTTTGATATAGATAGCACACCTTACACACTTTTTGGAGGGGGACTGTACACGTGTGAGCCTTCCAAGGTAGGCATCCCCGATATCTTACAGATTGGATCGTCATTGCAGCCGAAAGTTAAACATCCATGCCTTTGCCGTCATCCGGTCCGGTCATTGATCCTTGGAGAATATTCTCTTCTCCTCGTATCTCATCCTGTTGAACACCATGCTGTACAGCGGATTCCGCAGGGCCAGTGGCACCAGGTCCACCAGCAGCATCTGCACCAGGTGCGGCCAGTACGGTACCAAAACTGCCCGTCCGCATCCCACCCGGTCCAGAATGGCGTTGGCGATGGTCTCTACCGATGGCCAGAATAAACGGGGACTCATGAGGTCCGTCTTCGTTGCAACCGCTCCGATCCGCACCCCAATGACCTCCACGTCGATGCCGTCCATCCGCAACTCTCGTGCCATGGACGCCGATATCGAGTTGACGTATGACTTGCTTCCAGAGTAGAAGGACAATAGAGGCCAGCCTCCATCCGCTAACGACCCCACGTTGATGATGAGCGCAGGCTCCGCACTGCTCGAAAACCGCGGGATCATGATGGCATTAAGTATCGTCGGGAAAAGCGCATTCATGTGTACGTTGGCCGCGATGTCTTCCATCGACGATTCGTCCAGCCGCCGCATCATCGGCATCTGACCACATCCGCCGACATTGTTGATGAGAACCCTCAGGTTGAGATTTTCAAGCGGAGCCAACATCAAGTCCCACGGCTCCGATCCAGATCCCAGCACTCCCGCGTCGCCGACCATGATCCTAAATTCCCGCTCCGGGTGCCTCAGTGCGAGTTTGTGCCTCACTTCCTCCAGCTTGACATCGTTACGCCCATGTAAGACAACATTGAAGCCTCTGTGTGCAAGCTCATTTGCAAGCCCTTTGCCAATGCCGTCACTGGCTCCCGTCACCAGCGCCCATGCAGGCTTTCCGTTGACGGCCTTGAGGTAGCGATCAAGCTTCGACTTGTTGAAGAACGGAACCAGAAACCAACCGACGTTGTATACTGCAATCAGGAGGGAAAATAGCCCTACTGTCCGGAGAAACTCCTGCGAGTCCATACTGAAGACGTATCGTGTCACGATGTGGGGAGACAGAGAGAACAGCAAATAAGGAAGCTGGTTCATGTAGCCAAAGGTTTCCATCCACCACCTTTTAAGATGTTTGGAAAATACAAAACATACATGTGAAGGGGCCAGGTAGACGTCATGAATTCAGTCAAACGGTCGAATTGACTCTGGGAAACAGGGATGGCCACACCAGGCCAAACACTCCAGCTTCATGCTTTGCGGAGGGAATGTGGCCATCCGAGGGTACGAGACCGAGTCGTCTGTGATACGGATACGCTTTCTCGGAACATCGACATTCCCACATTCCCATTAGGAGCTCCGAGCAGCCCGCAGGATCTGTCGGCGGCCTGGGCTGCCTGTATAGTTTTTCAGCAAACTACGAGTTAGGCTGAACTCTGATTCAATGCCCTCCTTCCTGCGACCACTTTGCCTGAGCCGCCAGGCGCACATGCGGAGAGCGTTGATATCAGACGGAAACCGAACTGGCAGCTTGAGAGAATGCCCAGCATATTTGCATGGGGGGTGGTATACAATGTCTGTACATACAAATCGCCGAGAAGTAATGGTACAATCGAGCTTTATTTTCCTTTTTATCCCCTTCCGCGTCCTCAACTACTGGTATAGAACAGTAGTTTAGAACAGGAGGTTCTCCTTGGAAACCACCTTCTCCACCTTCTTCTGCACCTTGACCTTTCCTGTCCGCTTCTTCGGCACGGGGACCTTGAAGTACAAACTGGGCGACTCGCCCTGCTTCAGCAAGTGGCTCAGGTATCCGCGGTGGGCGGGGTCGCGGTAGTACTCGATATCGGAACGGCTCGTAGGATCGGGGAGTCTGTAGAGGAAAGGTTTGCTGCGGGCCTTCTCGAGGTAGGCCTCGACGTGCTCCTTGCCGAGGGGCAGCGGCTGGTCGGTGTTCTCACTCTGTCCGGCCAAGAGGCGCTTGATGGACTGTCTTGTGTAGAACCTCGTGAGGATCTTGCCGCCGGCGTTTTCGACGGCCTCAATGGCCGAGGCGGAGGCGCGGGAGACCATGATATCGAGGGGCTGGCGGAGCTCCTCCTTGCCGCGGGCGAGCAGCTTGATTCCGTCCTTGACGCTGCCAATCAGGCCCGACTCGATAATCTCCTTTACGGTGATCTGCTTGGTAGGATCCAGGCGGCCAGCGTCAATCCACTCCTGGAGCTTGTCGAGGTTGACCTTGGACATGATGGGTGCGCGCCTGTCTCCTGTTAGCTTCCAGCCCCGACGCGAACGTGCATTGTCGCATCTCGAGCGCAATTGGTGTGCCAGGCCACACGTACAAGTTGTCGAAACCCTTTCTTCCCTTCTGCACAATCAAATGTGTCTGACCACCCTGGAACCATGGCTTGACGTGGCCATGCTGCTTCTGACCCTTGTGACCTCTACCAGACGTCTTGCCCTTGCCGGCGGAGGGACCTCGACCGACTCGAATGCGCTTGTTGTAAGCTGCCCTGTTGTCCCTCAGATTGGCGAGGATGGAGGCATTGCGGGTGCCAATGGACAGGCCGGCGAAGAGAGACACCAGGCTCGTGGGATTCGTCGAAGGGCGCAGCACACGGCTACAGCATGTTGCTACATGCAGCGGAGTTAACCTCGGGGGCATGGCGACTGGTGGGTTGTGGCGACGGACTCGGGGGAGTGGTGATGCAGCCCAGGGCCCAAGGTTCGAGCCGCCGCCAAAATTTCCAACGGAGCCTCACGGAGCTGGCAGCCGCGTACAAGCCACAAGGAGGGATACAACGTGGCTGGTGACATCTGGCGAAGAGTGGCTCAGGAAGAGATGGTTATGTCAGCTCCAATCGATAAGGCACCTCTTTGAGTACGTAGCCGATGCATGCAAGTCAGCAATGGAAACAGCGGCCCCTGGTCTGGAAGGGAAGCTCCCCCTAGTAAGCGCCCCAGCGTCCCCTCCGCCCCCCTCTGATGCACATGTTCAGCACCTGCGACAGGGCGTGTTTGCTCCGCATCAGCGTGCCCAGCAGCCAGCGTAAGCGGCCCAGCGCAGGGCAGGAGCTGCAAGTCAGGCACAGACGATTCAGGCTTCGGCGCAGGTTTCCAGTCGGGTCCAGTCCACCACAGTCAGTCACCAGTGTCGTCAGCGTTCCCTCGTCCACGGCCCGCCTCGAGGGTGTCTCAAGCTTTACGCTTTCCGCCCCAGCTCCCCCTCCAAACTGGACGGACAACGGCGACAACAGACCAAAGGTACAAAAAAAAACACTGTCAAGCTTTTTATCGTTTGGCATATTTGCCTCCTGGTTTTCGGGGTCTCCGTCTGTGGACAATTGCGGTCGCATTGCGTGTGCCATTGCTTGGTCTTTTACGACAGACATCGTCGTCACCGTTCGCAGCTTGATCTTCACGGTGGGCGCAAGGTAGCGACTGCATCTCGGACTTGCGACTACACTGCTTCCTTACGCGGCCCAGCTTTACGTGCTCTTGTCTGCCTCACCTCCATCTCTCTTATCTGCCGCCCTGCACTGCTACCACTACACGGCACCACGCCCTCTGCACTCCATTACGCATCACTTACCAGTCTAGCACCCTTCGCTGCGTCCTCGATTTCTCTCGACAGCAATTGGAGGGAACTTTATCGGCGTACAGCTCCCCGGTGCTACCCAACCCAATCGGCCCATACCTTACGCTACATCCAAATACCTCGTTTCGCAGATACGCTCGATCGCCATAATAACCGCCATCATGTCCCTCTTCGGTTCCTCTCCACCAGGTGAATCGCCCTCGAATACCTCCGCCGCCCCTTCGCGATCTCTCTTTGACGAAGAGCCCATGTCCAAGTCAGGCTCCAATTCCCTCTTTACCGACGACGATTTCGCCGGCGCCGAAGGCTCGCCCTGGGACATGCCCACTCCGAGGAAGCAACAATCCCGCGCCGACGTCGTCCGCAACCTGCTGCCCCCCTCCGATGTGCCCGACGCCTACATCGAGACCTTCGACACCGTCGTGCGCGAGGATGGCAACGCGGGGCGCGTCAATGCAGGCGGCATAGCCAAGCTCTTTGCCGCTGCGCGCCTCGGAGCTGACCAGCAGGCGCAGATCATGTCCATGGTTGTCCCAGCTGCAGGTGGCGACATAGCTGTCGGACGCGGCGAGTTCAACGTCCTGCTGGCACTCATTGCCTTGGCCCAGGAAAACGAGACAATCAGTCTCGACACCGTCGATGAGCGACGAAGAAGTACGTCTGCACCTGTATCTCCATCTCATCTTCCCTTCTCCCGCAAGCTCTCGCACTTCTCCATGACGATACTCGGCCCCTGTTCGCCGAGCTATCGACTATCGACTATCGACTTATCAGTGCGCAATCTGTGGGGTTCGCTGCTAATTGCCAATACACTAAACCAGACCTTCCACTCCCCAAGCTCGCAGGCCTGACTGCTGCTCCGGTGATGCCTCCCGTCTCCGAGCTTCCTGCCGCCAAACCTCCCACAGCTCCTCACACGCCGACCCCCGAACCTCCTCCATCGCCGCCCAAGCCTGCCAGCCTGCCCCAACCCCCGATGGACTTCCCCGAATCCGACGATCCATGGAACTCTCCCGATGTACACAAGGGTCACGCCCACGCCGCCGCTGAATCCCCCAGCAGGACCAACGGTGCCAGCCCGCAGCGCCCGGCCGCCAACGGCAATGGCCACACCAATGGCAGCTTCGGCGCGTCGCCGAGCACCGCTATCGCCGGTCGCACCATGTCTTCTTACACGACAGCAACCGTTACCTCTGAGACAGCTTCCGCCCGCCAGAATGTAGTTCCCAGCACATCACCAGGTGGCTGGGGCGGCGGTTACTTTGATGGCAACAATACTGGAGGCGGCTTCAACGAACCCCCTCAGCCTCAGGTGACGAGTCCATTTGGCGGCGCCAGCCGTGGTGGACGCGAGCCGACCGGAAACAATCCAAGCGCCCCTGCATTGAGGACTTCCACGAGTGGGCGGACGGGAAGCAGCGTCGAGGAGAGCATCATTGTGACCCTGATGCCAGAGAAGGAAGGTCTCTTCATGTTCCAGCACCACAACTACGAGGTGTCGAGTATACGTAGGGGTAGCAAGGTTATCCGCCGCTACAGCGACTTCGTCTGGCTTCTCGACTGCCTTCACAAGCGCTATCCTTTCAGGGTGCTGCCTCTGTTGCCGCCCAAGCGCGTTGCCGGTAAGTTGAGGTATCGCAAGAACACGACCACCACTAACAACAATAGTTAACGGCAACCACTTGTCCAATGACGGAGCCTTCATCGAGAAGCGTCGTCGGGGTTTGGCGAGGTTCTTGAACGCTCTCGTGCGCCACCCCGTTCTCAGCCAAGAGCAGCTCATCATCATGTTCCTCACTGTGCCAACTGTAAGTTTCCAACTTGTCGCTACAGCACCTTACACTGACAGCACCAGGAACTTTCCGTGTGGCGGAAGCAGGCCACCATTTCAGTTCAGGATGAGTTCCAAGGCCGTGTCCTTCCTCCCGGCCTTGAGGACTCCCTTCCTCCCACTCTCGAGGCCCTGTTCGACAAAACTCGCTCGGGCATTCGCCGTTCGGCTGAGTTGTACATTAACGTTTGCAACATCATGGATCGTTTGGTGAAGCGCACCGAGGGAGTTGCGGCTGACCATGCACGCATCGCCCTGTCTCTCGCATCCTTGACCGAGACGAGCGCCGATACCTACGCAACTGACACCAACGAGGTGCCGCTGCTCAACGATGGCCTCAACTCCATGAGCCGGCATCTGAGGACTTGCCAGACCCTCATGGAGGACGAGAGCAAGGCTTGGGATGAGGGTGTTCTGGAGGACCTCAAGCGCCAGCGCGACGCACTTGTGAGCGTTCGCGAGCTCTTCGACCGCAGAGAGCGCTTGGACAAGGACAACATCCCCTATCTCGAGAGGCGCATCCAGACCAACGAAACGAAGTTGGCGAACCTCCGCAGCAAGCCTGAGGGCATGGTTAAGCCTGGCGAGATTGAGAGGGTAGTGGAGGCCATTATCAAGGTATGTCAAGGCTCCCCTGTCTTCCCCACACCAGCACTGACAGGCCGCAGGACAAGGAATCCATCGTCAGCCAACACAATCGTTCCATCTTCGTCAAGGAGTGTATCCGCGACGAGCTCATGTACTTCCAGAACACACAATTTCACGTCTCTCGCTGGAACCAGGACTGGGCCCAGGAGCGCGTTAAGTACTCCGAGATGCTGGCCGACAACTGGCGTCGCCTGCTCGACGAACTCGAGGGCATGCCCCTCGGCGACTAGTCCTCTTCTTATGTCGTGTTTTCTTTCCCGGGTCAACTTCGATTTGCATACCCAGCGTTTTCACCTTTCATCTCTCTGGCGTTCCGGTCTTTCCTTGTATCCGCCAGATGTGTTCAACAATCCCCCATGTTGACTGTCAGCGGCAGTCTCCTAGTTTGTATGAAGATGTGTCGTTTCTTAGCGCAATGTCTCCAAACACCAAATGTACTTCTTAGAGCACGGACACGTTGCCGAATACCCTTTGGTTACGAAATTTGCTTAATACATGGCCCCTAATTTGTTGCTTACATGATGTGTGCATGACTCACATGTCTTTGGAGTTGAACGGCGAGGGTCTGATATCTTTCTAGGCATGATCGCGTGGAAATGTGTATGATGCGGGTGAGCCACCGCCTCTATAATGACGCGGCGAGCTTGACACTTCGGTAACATCCCCGACGCAGATCACGATGAGTCCCCAGCCGTTGCAGAATGGGCTCCCGGCGTAGTAGGTTGGTTTGAGCAAAGTTGGCATCTTGACATTCGTTTGGGCGGCTCTCCATGCCTAGGATTTAGCTCTTCTATTTCTTCATCCTCCCTAGCCTTTCTCATATGAAATTCCGAGCGTCTTTCATGCCCTTGTCTCTGCTAGATGTTGATCGTTTTTCTGGCAACCGATGACGCTCTCAATATGCTCTTGGACAACTGTAATGAATAGTAATAAAGTTCTGAAATGTCGTTCACTTTATTAAGACCTTCGTTCGTCGACCATTCTCGAGTGCTTCCACCAACCCAGCTACATAGCTTGAAGCAAGTCCTTGTGGTGCTTGCTTTGAGCACATGAAACCGGCGCCGAGCGCAGAACAAGTTAGCTTCAAATAGTCCTCCCGGTAAATGAGCGCTGCGATTTTCATCATAGAGGCATACTTCTGATACTTCAAGAAAAGATCATATATAAGTTATACAAGTGATGCTTCCAAAACAAAACTTCCTCTCGCTGATCATGACCAACACATCGTATCCAACCAAGGTACTAGTTCATGGTTTTGCGAGGGACTGGAATGAAAGGTTCTCAAAACTTTAGACCTTTACCACATCTGATCTTCCAAGCCTCCCGAAGGGCTTGGAGAGTCTTTGTGGTATGACCTCTTCCACCATGGAGCTGGTCCCGCGCCAGTTTTATCAGAAGACAACGTCCCAGACCATGGAGGGCACAGGGGCAGCGGGTCAAGGCTGAATCTGGACCTTCACTCTTTGGGTGAATGGTCTCTTATGCAGTCTCCGCTAGGGCTTCGAGGGCATCGTGAGTTGTCGACTGCTGACCAGGTCCCCGAGCACTCTTCTCCCTCTAAGGATAAAAACCCATTTTCTTTCAGAATTTTCGTCAGCTTGTTTTTTCAAACCCAGATCACCACTTTTTCGAAAAAGGCTTCTTTCACAAAAAGAAGTATTTTCTACAAAAAAACACATAGCAAAGCACTTCGACGTTGCGTTACCATCATGGCTGTAAGTGTCCATTGTTTTCCTTGAAGCCTACTTTTGCCGAGCCTTTTCTTTTCTGAAGATTCATTCCGGGGGTTGTTTCTTCGTTGATTGACACCAAGGAGATCCTATTTACTTTTCTTTTGAAGTCCTCCTTTACCCCTTTTCCCCCATCCCCTGGTATCATCATGACATTTCCACCTGGTTCTATTCCACTAACGATTTAAATAGCGCCGCCGCGCCAAGGTCTATGACCAGCTTGGGAATGAGGTCCGGAACGAGCATGGCGACTGTGTGTATGCCAATTACGACGCCGACGACGCTGTCCGCCTCTGCAAGGAGGGAGGACAATACGGTCGCCCCGAGTTCAGAGACTGGAAGTATTGCTCCAGGGCAAAGCATTGCGCGCCTCCTGCGGATTTTCGGGACGGCGACCGGGATGACTTTCTCGTCTGTAAGAAGCATAATCAGCAGTCCTGGAAGTCCAAGCAGAGAGCCAAAAAGAAGCCGCACCTAGTGCGCACTACTCAGGCCACGCCCCGCGGCCCCAGAACTCCCAAGAAGGCCAAGGCCACCAAGACCGGCAGAATCGAGAAGACCATTACGCCCAAGAAGACGAAGGTCGCCGCCACCCCCACCCCCACCCCCAAGAAGGGCAAGAAGGACAAGAAGGACAAGAGCGAGCTCTTCGTCTCCTCCTCGGAGGAGAGCGACGACGAGGATGGCGATTACGAGACGGATGTCGACATGCCTACCGTCCACATCCCCCGCCGCCACCGCGGCCCCGACGACGATGGTCCCGGTGGTGGCATGGGTGGTGGCATGGGTGGGCAACTTATTGCAGTTTAAGCGAACGAAATGCCACACAGAGTGCGATCGAGTCTTTTGGGAGGCGGTTAAGGCTAAGATGGAGATTGTGGTCAGACCTGGCGTATGGTAATACAGAATACAAGAAGTCATCTCTGGAGTCAGTTGTCGATCGTCCCCAGTTGCCTGCGTGTATGCCGAATACACTGCTCCGTGAAATTGTGTACGAGAAGCATGTCAACTGAATATTGTGACTCGCGAGCCTTTCCCGCGATTGGAATATACTTCTTCGTGTAAGTGAAAGCATTGCATAGAGTAGGTCGATCCCTAGCCTCAACGCTGTCCTTCGCTCTCATGAAGCAAGTCTCGGAAGGGCTTGATATATAGTATGAATTCGAGATTTGCGGTGATATGCGCTTTTCAGATGTCTGAGATGGAAAACTGGTGTAATTTGGATGTATTCAATTATCCATAACCATATCTACGCCCATTTCATGGAATAATCAGTGTTTTGGGTGATAGCGTTATGCTAGCCTTGTCACAGTAGAATATTCCAGACAAACCCTACATACGCAACTAATCTCGCGAGCCAGGTTTAGATCTTCACTTCTCGGGTGAACAGCGTGCTATTTGAACCCTTTTGGGGCTTTGATGACATTGCGATCTCAAGCTTTACTAAGTGATGTCTGTAAATCTCTCGCGAACTCACTTTCACCAGGTATAAAAAGACGTCTTCTTGGCAGATTCTCCAACCAAGTCTTTTCACATTCTTTCAGACTCGATTCACAACAGACATCCAACTTCCGACCCTCGACCACCGACCTCTGTGACCTCCGACTCTCTACCACCGACCTCTCAAACCCCAAACAACCACCTATATCTACAATGGGCTCCGACCCCCATGCCGACTCTGGCGAGTCGTCTTCTGTAAGCCGAATCCCCACCCCCCCTACCACCCTTCTGCCCCCTCCCTACCTTACACATACACACACACACACGCAAACACATATGTACACATACCTACGAACAAAACAATTCTATCTCCTCCTTCCCCAGTTCGATTTATGCATACAAGAGGCTGACATCAACCTAGGAGGAGGAAATCCTCCCCAATGACGCCAAGGGAGATCACTCTTCCTGCAACCTCTCCAGCTATAAAAAAAGGGGCAATCATGAGATGAAAGATCTCGCCCGACCCTGTCTGCACAACCCCAAAGAGCAGTGCTTCTGTTCGAGCCACAGGGGCTGTATGCCAAAGACCCAGTTCACAGATACTGAGGGCGCTATCTCCCGAAAGACCTGCATCAAGTGCAGGTTTCGAAGCGCGAACAGGGCGAAGAAGACCCCCGAGGAGCGGGCCAAGGCCAAGGCACTCGCCAACATCCGCAAGGCTCCGGGAATATCGAACAAGAAGAGCACCAAGGGAACCATCACCGGCAGAGTTATGAAGACGCCTACCAAGAAGAACCGCTCCGGCCAGAAGAGCATCGAGAAGAGTGAGCTCTTTGTCTCATCCGAGTCCGAGTCCGAGTCTGAAGAGGAGGACATGGCCGACGACCACCCGAAGAGCCCTGGCTACCGCCAGACACCTGATGATGAGGATGATGCCCCTGGTGAAGATGGATCTATGGGTGGAGGCATTCCGGGAACCATCATTGTTGCTTGAGCCTTAGTCAACTGTTTCTGGCGAGTTCAGCTCAGGTGCGGCACTTGATTGAGAGGGCGTTTGACAGTGATTTCAGATTCAGGAAGGCACTTGGAGAGTTGGAGGTCTTTCTATGCTATAGATACCCAAAAGAACGCTCCTCGAGCGGATTGCTCCTTGACTTATAACAACGTCTTCCCATCTCACCCATGTCCACTCATGTCATATGTTGTTTAGCCTACAGATGAAGTGGTATGCAGTTGAGTAGAGGCCAACAGGTTCTATTGTGGCTTAGATTCCTCCGCAACGAACCCTTTTCGAGCAAGCCCCTTCTTGGAGCAGATAGAAGGCTACGAATGGGGAATCAAAGAACTTCGTCAAGTGCGCCTCCATATGCCAAGCCGAGCCTTGGCTCGCGACTCGTGGGTATGGTTGTCGTCTTACTGGGCAACGTTGAAGGAGCCAAGCATGCTTGTGAGACCATGGCTCTGCTTGGGAGCCCAAAAATCGTGCGAGATGACGACGAGGGGTCTAGACGTCCTGCTTGTAAGATACTCTCACGGCCACAGCCAAAAAAACCCTCAAGGAGTGGCTTACTGTCCAAGACACTGACACGTGGGAGCATCACAGCCTGGAACCAAGAAGCTGAAACCGACATGCCCACACTCTATTAGCAAGAGAAATGACGCAAAATGAAACAAGGCATGGCTGACACTTATGTCTGGGCCTGCGCCCTTTCACCGACTGGCTATCAACTACTTGGCACCTAGACTAAGTTGGTGGTGATGTGGTCAGACGGAGGCTATGTCAAGCCCCGAAGAGCATAGATGGTTACTCGGATTCCCGGGTAAAGGATATTCATCCCAATAAACCAACGATATCCTGTTTACTTCCTTCACGGATGATGTGCTGAAAGCATCAGCCACCAAGCTTCAGATTGCGAGTTCTACATCACCTCTTTGATTCCTCATCAAAAGCCTTTTGCCGAAAGACCAAATGCTTGAATAATGACAAGAGCAAGACTGGAAGCAAGTGCCGGAAAATGTGTCCCTAATAATGGGCACATCCCCAGAATTACACATACTTCACCGGACGGAGTGCGCGCCCTCCGCAAACCACCGGTCCGACACTCGCAGCGATGGCGCAGCATGATCGGCAAGCATCTAGCTGTCATGGACTTAAACACGCCGAAGACGACATCCCCGGGCTCCGTGCGAGCCGTCTTGCCGGTACATAAGTGTACGCCTATTTCCTACAACGGTCGTCTTTGGTCCGCTGCGGTCCAACCGCCTTATTGAGCGAGAGTCCACGACATATGGACTTTCTCTCGTTTACAACAACTCTAGCGCGAGGATTTTAGAGGCTGGTATGCAGTGAGATGTGCGTGCGTTCTTGATCAGCTGGATCATCGCCCCTCCATCATTATGAGAAGCTATTTGAAGCCCGCGGTCCGCGGCACCGCGACATCGGGTACGCTGCCCACAGCACAAGCCTAGTACAGATCACTGAGGACGTCGAGATCGCTGCTCAATCTGGTCACAAACACACACCCAAAAGAACGACCAAAGTAAGCCAGATCCCAAACAGGAATGAGGGGGGAAACCACGGGACCGTTCCCGACGACACCATCCGTCAACCTTCTTCGCTTAACCTTGTCAATCATTGTCCATCGTCTGAATGATCAAGCTAACGTGCTAAGTATGCTTCTCAACCGAGAATTTCCCTCACCGCCTTTCACACCATCTTCGCCCTGCTCAGCTTCTTCATTCGAACATTCCGTATCATTTCCTCGTATTATCCCGTTCTTCCTCTTGCATCGGAATCAACACTTGCATCTATCACAGAAGGACCATTGAGTCGAGCCCGATGCCGTCGCGCCGAAAAGGGAACCAAACAGCAACCTTCTTATCTTGTCGACTCGAAACGGCAAGGCTGGGCCAACAACACCCCGGCCCGGTGCCGATGCCGCGCAGATCAATAGATAATGCAATGCGATATGGGCCGGGAAGATACTGCGCGCTCAGCGGAGGATCTTGATAAACTAATCATCCTCCCAGGCGACTTGCATTATCGTCGTTGATGAGATGGGGGGATTGATAGGGAATGACAGCTTGAGTTTATAACAGTCCAGCAACGCCCGCGCTTTTCGGCCGCCGCATTCGATTTCCTTCTGACCACCTTCTCGAACGCCTCGCCAGAACGGGCCATCCGGCAGCTCGGCACCGAACTGCGACGGTCAGACATCGTATCCGCCAGATGGTCGTGAGAACTAGTTGATTTGAGAAGCGGAGGACATGGGGGATGTGCCGTGTTTCCCGACGACCCATTGGGGTTACTGTCGACTGGAGGTTTAAATGGAGGCTTGCCCAGACGAATGCGATGTGTTTGCTTGCTTGCAACAAACCGACATTCACGATTGACATGGGGCATTCACAAATGACAGCACCGAGAGGAGCGGTTGGCGCCACGCACAAGACATGAAGGGGCCCGACGGTCACAGACTCACCCGACAATTTCCAACGATAGTGGGTTCGATGCTGACGGACGACGCTTACCCGCCATCTGAAGTCGAGAGATGGCGACAGTCACGACGAGGTGGAACTGAAGAAGTTGACTTATGAATTGAAATTAGAAACAGATTCCCGCAAATATGTATCGCACATCTATCTTCGGCCGTCAATGCTCATTCAGTTCGATCGCGTCTCGGCGCATTGATCGACCTTTTTTCTACCAAACATACCTTTGACACCGGCCGATGAGAGAAGAAAGGAAGCGACAAGCAAGGAAAACTCCGAGGTATTACATCCATCGTTATCCGTGTGTTGCGTCCGACCCGCCGTTTGCTCCAATATACATCTCCTAGCAAACAACAGTGCCAGACGTCATGGGAAACCCCGGTGATTGGAGGAAAAGGAGGAAAAAAAGAAGAAATATTCGTGAAAGCATTACAGAGGGAATGGTGGGATTGGGCGACGATTACGAACCGAGGAGAACGCCACCTTCAGCCCAGCGCAGCCGCAACCCTTGGCCTTCCGGACCTTAGTTGCACCACATCTCAACACGCGTGCTCTGCAGTTGGCTCAGGACATCGAAATCAAGCCCACTCTGTCTGAACGCAACGATGATCATGTCGAATCGCTCTTCCAACGACTTAACGTTCCAGCCCTCGACATCATTCAGGCGGGGGATCTGTGGTACCGCCTCCTGTTTGACGAGGGGATCGGCCCAGCAAACATCGACCTTCTCAGACAACACGAGGCTCTTTGCAAGCTCGAGCCCAGGAGAGTTTGCCAGGTGAGACTGGCCCTTCTTGAAGCCCATGCCTACGACGAGGATGCTCGGCCGCGGCTTTTCTGCGCACAGCGCATCAACAGCGCGCTGAGCGATGGCTGATGGACGCGCGCGCATCCTTTCCGTTGCGTGCTGAAGGAGAGGGAACTGGTTGTTCGAGAGAAGGTAGTACGGGTTGACGGGGATGCAGTGGCCGCCAACACCCAGACTAGGTGTGAAGGGCATGTATCCAAATGGCTTGGTCGCAGCAGCACCAGAGACTTCATATGGGTCGACTCCGTGTCCAAGACAGGCATCAGCCATCTCGTTGGCGAAAGCAATGCACATCATGCGCTGGCAGTTCTCGTACAACTTGGTCATCTCGGCGACCTCAGGTCTCGACACAGGAACGACGTTGTCGAAAACCTGCGAGTAAAGGCGGACGATGGCGTTCAGCGAACCGGGTACCATATCGTCCAGACCGGACACGATCTTGGGGATAGCGTGAGCAGGAGGCTCAACACGGCCGGGGTCGACACGCTCAGGAGACATGCCAGCAAAGAAGTGGCGTTCCTGGGCAAGAGGGCCGAGCAGCTCTCTGGTCATGCCAACGGCGACGGATGACTCGACGACCACTACGGAGCCAGCGCGGGCGTATGTTGCAACATTCTTAAGCGCGGACCGCAGGAAGGAAGTGTCAACGGTCTGGTCTGGGCGCAGAAGCGTGGGCACTGAAATGAGAAAGTGTGTAGCCGCTCCCATATCGCTGGGTTTGCTGGTGAACTTGGCCTTACTGTCTGGGCCGAATTCTCTCTCGAGGCTCTGGACTCGCGCCTCAGAGACATCGAAACCGAGGACGTTGAACTTGCGGGCAAAGTTGCCCACGAGGTGCTCTCCAACGTATCCTACCCCAATGACGGCAACCAGTGGTTCCGCCTCGAGGTCAATGGAGCTGGCAATAGTGGCGAGTTCCTCGTCTGATTCGCACTCCTCCGTGGGAGGAGTGATGGGGTAGTAGCCATCGTGAGAAAACTCCCAAGGTTTGGCTCGGTCTGTGGAGGACTCTGGAGAGTTGAAGGGGAAAGCATCGCGGCAAGTCGGGGACCGCTCCGGAGTATCGGGTGTAAGAAGTTGAGAGTCCATTGCGACGACGAGGGGGTAACAAACGAACGATGGGTAGTTGCGGAGAAGAACGAGTGTCGACGAAGAGCTACACGAGGAAGATATCTATGATATCTTGAAAGTCAACTCCACTACCAAGTTGGCTTGAGGGCTTAAAGAGGGAAGAGGGGCGCGGCGACGGGAAGGAAGAGAGTTCAGTCGAAGGAACGAAGACGGGAGTTAAAAAGAGTTTGCCAACCAAGGCACTGACATACATGATGGGAAAGCAGCAGGAGGAGACAGCCCACTCACCTTCGGGCTGTCCCTGGCGTCAGCGGCTCGAGGTTGCCCAGACTTTGGACTGGCGGCAGCCTCTCCATGCCACCCGTCTGCGGAAAGCAATGATTGAGACATGGACATGGCATCAACCTGGGTGTCGCCGGGCCTAATCGGGATCCACGTTCGCACCACCAAACGGCGGCAACAGCAGCAGCATCAAAAGCATGGACGCCGCAGTGGTGGTGGTGGTGGTAACTCTGCGACTGAGGCTCCAAGCCGGCGGCACGCGGCTGGATGGCGACGGGGCCGTGGGCAGATCAAAGTCGGGAAGAAAAGACGAGATCATAGTTTCAGGTCCAGGCTAGCTCCCGGACAGACCAGACTTGGAATCGAACAGACGACCATCAGCAATAGTGTGTCCAAAAACAGTCCATGGCAAGCGGCCTGAAGGTGGCTGAAAGGCGAGGAGGCCCACCTTCGAAGCGCAACCACAACCACCAAGCTCACCACAGGCGCGCTTCGGCAAGACGACGCTGCACGGAGAAGGAAGAAGTAGCGCAATAACTCCGTATGGCATCAGCACAACGAGAATGGCAAAATCTCTCGCTCCGGCCGGAATCCAGAACAACATCAGAAGGTGGTGCTCCCCAGCCAGCAACGGCAGCAGCAGCAGGAGCAGCCTTCACCCAGCGCGGGATCGCCAAGCTGGCAAGCCCGGATGCAGGAAGCAGGCAGAGACACTCATCTCCCCTGCTTGTCCATCGTACTTTCGCCGAGGTCCCCTCCGACGCTTGATGTCATGCAGAAACGCCCTTGTCGTTCTTGCTGAGGACTTTTTCCTGGTCCATTGGGAAAAGGTTGCGTTGCCTGGCTGACTGGAGGCGTGTTTCTTCTTGGAACTCTGAAAGGCTCGCGCGGAGCTCGAACATGATATCCGCTGCAGGCCATATTCGAGGTCGTAAGCGGCGGCCAGGGTGCTGGATCGAGATGAATCGACAGAGACGTGAAGCTACCCTAGGGTTACCTTCGCATCTCAAGGCCGAGGGGGTACTTGCTTGGCCACCGGCCTTGGAACCGACGATCACAACATTCTGACCGGCCTAAACTGCGCGTCCATGAGCCCGAAATTCTCACTCAATCACCGTGAAGTCTTGGGAGGCGTTGGAAAGGGTTCTTCGACGAAAAGCTTACGAAGGTATCGACAGGGGTGCATGAGGTGAAGGGGGTAGGCAGTGGGGGCCCAGGATGGCCTGGCTTGCGAGGTACGAGATACATCGAGGAGAAGACTGGGAGTGAACGGGCGAGAGAGTCTTTCGCACTTTGCCCATGTCGTGGCATGCCCTGCTGCCCTGTCTGGCTGAGCATCCAGGACGATTCTGGGTAATGCGTATGCATATGCATCTCTCGAGGTCGCGGAAGCTATTGTCTTGGCGGAGGAATTCACGAAGTCGGAATGGGGCGACGTTTTGTTCGAAGCGCAGCAGAAGGAAAGAAATCGACCGAAAAGGGGGTTGTGATGAGATGATTGGCGAGAAGAACGAGACGATGGAAGACTTGAAGGACGCTTTTCGACGCATCGATGCTCAGCCAGCTTCGCTTTGCTTTGTTTGCTCTGCTCTGCTTTCCTCCCCGCGCGGCCACAGCCCAAAAAAAGATGCATATGCACATGTCATGCATATGCAACACGACGAGGGGACACCGAGGCCCCGGTCGACCGGCGACCCCACCCCCGCTCAATGCAAGTCTCAGTCTGTGTGCTGGGCAGCCTGTTAATTGCATTGCNCCCCACCCCCGCTCAATGCAAGTCTCAGTCTGTGTGCTGGGCAGCCTGTTAATTGCATTGCACTGTATCCGTACTCGAATGGCGGGTGAGGTGGGAGGTATTGCATTGCATGCATTAAGGCGGGGGTTTTCTGCTCCGTCTTTGCTTCTTTCCGTTCTTCCACTTCTCCCGCTCAACAACCACACCTCCCCCCTCCCTTTACGAATACTTCACGCCCCTCCACCACCAGCCCCCCTGTCTCTTCAATCACCCACCACCCCAGCTTTCGTTCTTTTGGGCGCGAGTCCATCAATGGCTTTCCGGTCCGTCCTCCACGATTCCCCCGTCTGCGCTACCATCGTCCACCATTAGCCATACCGATCCAAATTGCTAAGCCACAATCTGCCCCTTGCACTGGGCGGCATACACGTGGTGGAGAACGGCGCCAACCGCCGGCTGTTTCTCAGACGCCTCCCGCTGCTCTCTTCGTCCCTTCCACGGCCCTTTAGGATGACGAACGACAAAACGGCTGCCAAGATCTCGTTCATCTTATCGGTCCCGAGCCCGGCACGACTGGCGCGACGCCACATGGGACACTCGTTGTTCGTACGCGACCCCTATTGAGCACATCATCCCGTCATCTCGTGTCAAGCCACAGCGGTTCTGCCTGGCCCTGCTCACCGTTATCTTTTGCTGCTTCTTGGGCCAGCATCTGGCCCGAGCAGATGTCGTGGCATGGCGCTTCATTGAAACAAGCAATGCCGAAGCTCAAAATGGCAGAGCAATACGGGAAGAAGTCGACTCGACGGCGCGGAACCCCGCATCCACCGGAATAGCCTCAAATCCCGTTCAGCTGGTTTTAGCTGCCGCAGCTTTTCTCTACAGGGGCTCGAATACCGAGAGAAAACGATGTTCCGTCGAGCTTGGCCGGCGAAGGGCGGCGGTGACGGCGACAGCGAGCTCGACAGGCGACATGAGTAACGGTGTCCGCTTTCTTACCACAATGATGTACCATTTGCCGACCTTTCTCAGACACCAGAGACGCGACACTTCCAAGCGAGGCGCACCGCCAGGCTCTTAGTGCACGAACTGCACTGGAAAACAAGTTCTCTGTGGCCTGAGGGCGTCTTTCGAATAACCTAAGCACCTGGATTTGCCTCTTCTCGCAGTGTGTGTCCTCGACATTGGCTTGATTGGTGGGACTTCGTGCCTTCGTTGTGAGTTGGCGAACCACAAGCTGGGAAACCGAGGCCTCTACACTGGCGCCATCTGCACAGCAAATGCGAGATGCAATACAATTTTTAGAACTACAGCGCGACAGCGCGCATCGAGCACGGGTATTGGAGCCGCAGCCCTGCCAAGTCGTTGCCAAGTTGTGCCAGTGATGCAGAGAAGACGAGGTGCATCTCGCTGTTTGTATGACGCCGGGGACGCCATTGGCCGAAGCCATCATAGCACCACTTCAGTCTCATGACTTGTCCTCCTCCGTCTTTTGGTAATACGAGAAACCCGATCCCACGAGGCTGCGTCACTTCACTCGACCAATTCCACTTTGTGGACTTGTCCAACCCAAGATGACTTCAATATTACGACTAGTGCTGGCGAGCACTTTCCCCCAAGGCAAGGAAATCATCCGACCAGAAGCCCACTAGAGAGGTTGGTGTGCGGGGAGAAGGATCAATTGCTGACGGCATGAAGAACATTGGAGCACGTTTGCCATCCTAGGCCATTTCCCGAAGCCTTCAAATTGTTGCTCCTTGTTTATTGATCGACAGCTAGTGTGGAGAGAGAGAGAGAGAGAGAGAGAGAGAGAGAGAGAGACTGAGAGTACGCTGCGGAGTATTGCGAAGGAGAGACAATTGGCGTAGGCGATATGCCTCTCGGAACCAAAAAACCCGCCAGAGTCAATCGAGTCGAACGGGACGTGTAAGATCCGGGGCGGTCAACTTGTTGCTGACGCCGGTCCTCGGAGCTTCCGTCGCTGGTTACCAGATCCTCGGAGTCAACCAGCGACGGGCGCTTCCGAAAGTGCCAGCGGTGCCCAACCCGACCGGAGGAACAAAGACACCACCAGCCTGGCGCTTGCACTGCTAGTTGCGATATTACTTGCTCTCCCTTGATCGGCAACAGCACTCATTCACAAGGACAACATTTGAGACAAGGAGAACGACAACTGTTCCCCAGCCTCCAAGGCCGTATTTCGATTTCTGTCAACCTCCTACATTTTTATCTCGCTGGGCACTATGCGGGGCAACAATACAATCCCAGAAGAGACTTGCGATGTGAGGGTTCGTTGGCGTGCCTCTTGGCTACAATGTCCAAGCCCCAAAGCACCCTGGCCCCTCCCGCTAAGCCTGTCCTGGCCCCGCGAACCACCCTCGGATAGTTGAATGACATATCGGCAAGGACACGCAGCTTATGACCAGGGGGATTTCTCGAACTTCATCCACCCGGCCAACAGCCGGTTACATCCCAAGTACTGGTCGCCGATCTACCTCTGGGTCTTCCCCTGCTCTCTTGCAAGCACTGCAAGCACATCATTAATCATTCACCAGCGCACAACGGGCAGCTGCCGTGGATCTTCTTTATGGCTGGTTGGCCTGGGCAAGCTGGGGGAACACCACCACCCGCCTGCTCTCACACTCGCTCACTCAGCTTCTGCAAGCCTGCAAGGTCCCAATCTGTACCGTCTCACTCAGCCCATTCCATATTGCCTGAAAATTTTTCTTCCTTTTACTCGTTAGCCTGCCAACACACCATGCTCACCTGCAGTTGAACTCGTACCCAGCTTTAGTTGCGGATCCCAGCCTTCAGTCGGGCACGTCGGGGTCATCATCGGGAGGATCCCAATATGGGCTTCTCTGCAACTTGATGCATGGTTGACGATTCTCGGTTTCTGAACGGTTCACAGCTCTTGGAATTGATGTGGCCATCTGTGGGCATCTGCTGGTAGCCTGGCCTGTCATTCAGTCACATCAGGCCCCTCCAATGCCAGAACCGGATATACGGCTCCAACAACGTGGGCAATAACGTAGCGCGAGGTCGTAATGCTGAACAATGGAGCATTACCACACGACTTGGAGGGGCAACGTCTCGTATCGCGAGGGTCGGGACGCCAGCCTTCCTTTGGCAAGTGCCGTCTGTCCCGTCTGACCAGATCTTGAGCTCAAATAATGAGATTATATGCACATGGCCAGCGCCATGAACCAGCTGCCAAGCGGTACCGCCTCCATCAGCCAGCCCTCTGCTCTCTTTATCCCAATCTCGAAGTACTGGACTCAGGTCGGCGTCCTTGGCAGATCCAGCGTGTAAGATCTAACTTCTCGGCGTGGTCGACGAACAGTTATTGCACGGCACGCATCTTTCTGTAAATACCGCTGTCTGCCGTCCTCAAACGACCCGTGAACTCTATTGCAATCTCGCCCGCAGTGTCGATCTACCGGAATCATACCCTCTTTGCATCGCGAACTGCCTCATATTCTCTAGCCATGCATGCGCTACTGTCTCTCGTCCTCTCGGGGGCCGCCATGGCCGCCACTCTCAACAATCCGCTGCGAAAGCGCGCCGAGTGCGGGCCCGGAATTGGGTCCTGCGCTCCGGGTGAGTGTTGTAGTGACGCCGGCTGGTGTGGAACGACGGGAGAATATTGCGGCGGCTCGCAATGCCAGCTCGAATACAGCGACTCTTGCGATACCTTGTAAGTCGATTGGAACGTCGGACGGCGCTCGCCATGCGCCGCACATTGCTAACACGTCCCTGGCAGCTTCCCGCCTCCCGGCGCCAGCACGGAGAGCATCTCCCGTACCCTTGTGGGATCCGTGCCTTATGGTGTGTTCATCTGCTTATGCATCGTGGAACGGATCTAACATGCATGGTCTCTTAGGCTCAATCATCACCACTTGCGCCAACCCAGGGTCCTTGGCATTGACCTTTGATGATGGCCCTTACATCTACACATCCCAACTCCTTGATCTCCTCGAGGCCCAGAACGTCACCGCCACCTTCTTCGTCGCAGGCAACAACATCGGCAAGAAGCGCATAGACGACGCCACTACACCATGGCCCGCCATCTTGCGTCGGATGTATGGCCTCGGCCATCAGATTGCCAGCCATACCTGGACCCACCGCAACTTGAACGAGGTCAACAGCACCATCCAGAGAACGGAAATCATCTACAATGAGATGGCGTTCCGAAACCTCTTCGGCTGGATTCCAACCTATATGCGCCCCCCATTCCTGGAGTGCAACGCTGGCTCGGGCTGTCAAAATTTGATGAGAACTCTGGGGTATCATATCATCAATGTCAACGTGGATACCAAGGACTACGAGAACGATTCTCCGACCTTGATCCAGGTTAGCAAGGACCGCTTCTCCAATGGGGTCTCGACAAACGCGGCCGCTAATAGCTACATCGAGCTGTCCCATGATGTCCACTATCAAACTGTGGTCAACCTGACCCAGTTTATGATTGACACTGCAAAGGAGCGTGGCTACCGTCTGGTGACCGTGGGCGAGTGCCTCAATGATCCCAAGGAGAACTGGTACCGCACAGCTGGTGGCGCACTTAGCACCGGAAGCACAGCCTCGACCACGGCGTCTCGCGCCGCTGCGTCCTCTACCCTGATCGTGTCTTCTCGAGCGTCAACATCCTCCGCTCCTGCGGCTACGGGCAATGTTTCACCGGACCAAACCTGCGGTGGCACCACTGGTTACACATGCTTGAACTCTGCGTTCGGAAACTGCTGCTCTTATTATGGATTCTGGTAAGATTTCCGGGAACATTTGACGCAATGAGGGACACAGCTGACGATACTGCCCCATTACACAGTGGCTCCAGCCTGTCATACTGCGGAACCGGCTGCCAATCGGGCTTCGGATCCTGCTCACCTCCATCTTCCGGCGAGAGCGATACGACCAATGGTCTCTGCGGCAGCGAATTCAATGCCACGTGCAAGAACAACGGTGACAAGACCTGCTGTTCGCAATATGGCTTCTGGTAAGTCATTTTCCCACATCATTCCTACCCCAGCTTTCCTGTTCCACGGACATGGTTCATCCGATGGCGATCATGTGGAAAAACTTGATATACTGACGAGAATGTAACCAGTGGTAACACTGACACGCACTGCGGAGCTGGCTGCCAGTCGCTTTTCGGCACCTGCAATTGATCGGGCCAGACCTGTGGTGCAGCACGTATTGCGGCCTGCACCGAACCTTGAGGCTGGCCGCCATACTCGCACAGCATGGTCGATCCTCGGGGCACCCTCGTCGGCTCCCAGGGTCTCTACTGAAGCCATTTCATTTGCAATCTGTCAATCAGGAATGACAGCGAACATGAGGGGCAAGGTCAAAAAACCTTGATTAATTATGTTTTGTTTTTGTTTTCGGGTAAGCGGGCGAAGAAACCGTTAGCATTTCAACGTGCGTCTGCCTGTTGACAGCCAAGTCGGCGTCGGACGCACTGCGACCTGTCAACCTTTCCCACCTACCTTTATGATCTCTACGGCCGAGACGATGGATAAAGACGCAGCTGCAACGCAAGTGCATCGCGGCAAAAGCGTTGGAAATAGTTTAATGTTAACACCTAATCCTGAGCGATTATGTCTCAACCTATTTTGCGACATTTCAACGGCCGGTCTCGTGCTCCCAATGCTTGTCTATGTCTTTGTTTCGCCGCCGCCCGCAGCTGACTAGGCCCCGTGCCAGGTCGCCCTCCGAATTGTCTTGGGTCGCAAGGCAGGCTGCAACGGTTGATTCTTCGTGGCTACCTTCCACATACGAGGAGACCCGAGATGTCTTGTGCGTAGCACCGGACAAACGCAATTCTCGTGATCATTTTGGTGATGCTTCAAGGGGGATGACGCTCATATTGCAGTGGCACCATCGCGGCAGGACATGCCCCGAAAACCGGTGTTTACAATTTGCCTCGGCCAGAAAAAGTTTTTCTGAAATTTCGACGATGCGCTACGACGTATGACGAGCTTTAGTCACGCCGAGACTCTAGCTATCTGCGATGGTTGGGACGAGGGGGTCTGGCAGCCCTCTTGCGGCACTCGTCTCGGCCTGCCAAGGCACGGCAAAGGCATCTGTCTCCCAAGACTTTACCCGAGCTTACAGCTTACGTGGGCATTGGATAGCATACGCAGTCAGCAACGAAGGCCAAAAAAGCTTCACCCACACGCACGGGGGCGAGGTTATTACTCGAATGGGAGATGCGGCGAGAGGGAAATGGATCTGTGCGGCAGAAACAGCTGTGCAGTGGGTTTGGACAAGGCGGTCGAATTTGTTACCAAGCTGCCACTGTCGACAAGGGCCTCGTTCGTAAACCCAAGGATCCTGAATCGTGACGCATTTCTTTCACCTTGGAAAACATGGACTTGTGGAATTCGATCCTTTCCCCTCGAGGGGCAGCTGAACTGCTGAATAAACTCCGCCAGGTCGTGCTCTTCTGTGATGCTAGCGCCCAGCTAAGTGGGTTGGCCAGCAGCGAGCTAGTGCCGTTGAGCTAACAGGGCTCATCTTATTTTTGGGATCATGTTAGCAGCACAATTTGCGCGGTAGAACATCTGTCATTCGATCTTTTGAATAGCCCGGGACTGGGATGCGATGCGCACGCAAGTTCGGGACCAAACTAACCCCGTGCTGGGTTGACATGCGACGAGATGACATTGCGAAGGTGCGCCTCGCTGGTCGACATGGGGGCGAAAAAGACGTGCCGCACCGTAGCATTTCGTGGGGGAAATTCGATAGTGTGCCGACCAGCAGACTGCAGCGGCGGATACTATGCTTAGATTAGGCAGTAGTACACCATATGGTGAGGCAAACAAACAGGATGGACAACGGGGTTAATGGCCAAGGATGAAGGTGCGAGGTACGTTGCATACACGAAAGCCTCTTTTGTGCCATTCACAGTCCTGTGTCTTCGGACGAAATGTGCGGTCTTCGTCCCTAGCGCGGAACGTCCCTCTCATCTTACCTCAACGTCAAGCTCAGTGCGAGAAATTGTCGAATGGCACCACTGGCTGGTCGCTGAGACCCCCGGTCCCCGAGGTGCCAAGCGTGCGTAACCTTGGAAAAGAAGGTCCCGGCTACTGCAGGAACTGGGATGCCGCGTGCTTAGCGCCGCGCCAACTCTCATCGGGGGTCGATGTGGGGCCGCTTCCGCCGCCGCCGCTAGCACTGGAAGTCGGGCGTCCTGGACCCACCCCTCTGAGTCAAATTCCCCGCGGCCTGTAACCCCGGCCAATCACTATCGGGGTAAACGGATATATGCATAGTTGCAAACTTGCATCGGGGCATTTTATGACGGTTAAGCAAGGGAAGCCAAGGGGGGGGGGGGGGGGGGGGGGGGGGCTNTCCCCTCCACTTCTCCCCCCGGTTCTCCTCTCCTCACCTCCTCGTCCCACCGTCGCCACCCTCTCACACACCGCAACCCACTCCCCCTCCTTCAGCCTTCTGGCCCCTTGCTACTTTGAGGTTGTCGATGTGTTTCTTACCCTCAATCCTCATCGTAACGACCATGCAAGCCTCTTCCGCATATCTCTCACGCCCCGCTTTCCATCTCTCACCCTCCCACCGGGGCCAGAGTCCGCCTCATCCATCATCCAGTCACACAATCCATCCAGGCTGAAAAGCTGGGTTCTGGGGATTGACGCCTGTGATGCGACTCCATATTCTTTTCTCACCCATGTCCAAAGGACCTTACTACAACGCCCACCGATGGTGTGATGAACCTGGAGCGTCAACGCCACAGCCTTTTCTTCTTACGCGCCTAGCAAGGAGAGACTCATACGGGCCACAACGACCGCAACCGCACGTCCTCAACGCACCTACCGCTGGAACCTCTTGGCTTACCGGCAAACCGCCATCTGTGTCAGAGGGGGCAACAAAACCTTCCATTTTCGAAGCAATGCCCTCCCCTTACCCTGACTGCTATTACCCAGGGGCTGCAATCAACCGCAGAAGAAAGCGTTTCCAGCCGGTGATTTCCCAAATGAGAAGCGACGGCACGGAAAAGGATATGGTTGAAAAGAAGGGTCCTCTTGGCAATTTGGATATCATTCATCGATGCAATGGTTTTCCTGGGGCCTGGCTGCTTTCCCTCAACAACACCAGGCAAACGTTGGCAAGCCAGATCTTGCGGTGGAAGGGATGATTCAGCGGTCTGAACTCGAGTACCAAGTAGGAGGCTCGAGGCAAGCGTTGAGAGCGAGCCCACACAACCAATTGTGTCGTTCATCCTGTCTCATCCAATCATTGGAAGTACTTGTCGGCCGTCGAGAACCACGAGTGCAGTGTTGGCAGTATTGGCTTGATCCCACAGACATTAGGCCGCGCCGCTATACATGCCGCAACCATGTACGAGACGCAGGATGTCGTTCGCCCGGAGTTTTCGGTCAGCGTCCGCGTACAGAGACAGCTAGAGCGAAGACGCGCATCTACCTAAACCACACAGAGGGAAATGCACAACTGTGTGTGCCTGAGTGAAGGCGTCGACGGACCTGCCTTGCCCTGGCCTGCTGAAGCCTGTCTGTCCTCTCATCGACAGCCCAGATTCTAAGCTTACTTGCGTGCGGAGGCCATCCACTTGCATGGGCAGGCACCGTACCACGTCTTTTGGTGCCCACTCTTGCAGCCTACGAACCCACGAACACGGGCTTGGCAGGCCGGGGTTTGATCTGATTTGATCCGATTCACAGCTCACTGCTGCAGCAACCATCAGCGATGTCGACCGTCCAGTCGCCGCCCAAAGACTTACTTTGCCCCGCCGATGCAGTACTGTCTTGTTCTCGGAAAGAGGTTGGTTGGCTTTGCCTCTGGAGGGAGCAGCCTAGTCACCAAGCTCAACCCAACCGAACCCAGCCAACGCTTTCTCGCAGCCAATCCATCTGCGGCTCTTTTGTTTCCTTCGCCCCCGACGTTCTCGAAGCGAAGATCACCCGCGAACACGGGGGCCAAGGACCCCAAATGGCCTTTGTGGCATGTGTGGTAGCCCCCAGGGGCCCAATCTGCGCGCTCACGCCCAAAATATCTCTCGTAGCTGCACGAAGGCTGCACTTCACAACTTCAGCAAGCAGCGGTGTCCTGAAGTTGAAACTGACGTGTATATTGGACAGGGGTGTCAGCGGAGAGCTTCATCGCGCTAAGTTCCTAGGGCCGGATCATCACCAGTCGGCCACCCATCCCCGGTCGAAACGGACGCCGTTCCCTTGTCTTGCTTAGCGAGCGGCTCCCGTCTTGAACGTCGTACCGGTCGTGCATCTCTTGCTGCGCCATCTGCGCGCCTCTTCTTCTTTGGTGTGTATGCCTGTGTGGTTTTATGTTTCTTTTTATTCCGAATTTGCTGCTTGCCTGGGGTTCTCTCCTGCTTCTACGCCATACCAAATGTCGACGTTTGACGACGCCACATGTCCCCTCGGACCACGCCGATCCTTCTTCTGGACGTCTTGTGAGCGAATTGGTCCTTTGCCAATATCGCACACAATGCAGAGTGACGGGCTTTGTACCGCCCGTATACAGGCTGCCGCCTGATGGCGATCATGGCGTTTCTCGGATTCAAGCGAATCTAGCGGGCAACATCAGCGGCGGCAACAGCTCAGCTTACAGAGTCACGGAGAAGACTTTACGACTTTTTAAGCCAAGGAGATCCGGCGTAGGACCCAGGGGGGTCCTGAAGTGAGCCATCAAACCAGATGTACTGCCGCCTAGCCATCCAACCATCCACCTGCAGCCGCCGCTGTGCGTGGTGCTGCTGCCGTTGAAGCCTTTTCTTTTTGGACATGGATATGGGATGGCATGGTTGTCTCATCTCCACCACCCAACCACACGTTTGGCGGGAAACGTCGTTGGATGGCTTGATCCCCTTGCAAACTGCCCAATGGCGTTTGACTGTTCCCGTAACCCCGTGGCTGGACCAAGTGGACATGATCGAACCTGCTTGCTGCTTGTCGATTTCTTGCTTGCCATTGCCTCAGCTGACGCTAGATTTGGCATCATTGTCGCCATGCCCGAATCTGTCCATCGTTCGGCCCAGCCCAGCAACTTGCTGCACTCGGATCAATAGTCCGTATTGCGAGACATGGCCGCACATCATCGAGGAAGCAACTCAATGTCAGGTCAAGCAAGTTGCTGGCTCCGAGAAAGACCCTGCGAGGTCCATGCCCACCCCCGGACCGCGAATTAGCTGGCTGCTACCACACACTCTACCTGAGCCTGAGTAGAGTGTTGATTCCGAGAAACCATAGAGCTGGTCGGGTCAACCGCCTCGTGAGGCTAACCCAAGTTGAGGAAG